TCCAGGCACTCAGTCATAAGCAGAGCCAGCATGCTCCTGTTAAGCCTGCAATGCCTGTTCTTGCAAAATCCACTTCCAAAGGCTGATGCCTTTACTGAAGCATGCTTGAAGCAGCAGTCCACACTGCACATGGAAAGCATCTTTCAGCCACGTATGGATCTCTGCTGGACCGAGCCAGGCTTTGCTTCTTGGCCAGCTGGGTGGTTGGATGAGAGAGCAGGACCTTCCACACTGCCAAACACTGCTTTTGCAATCAATCCAGCAGCATGGTCAAGAGAATTCAAGACATCACTTGCCAAAACTTTGGGAGAGCTCAGAGTAGTGTTGCACTTGCTTTAAATATATACTTACAGACAAAGAGAGCAGGTTTGCAGCTTTGTTTCAAATTATGGCAGCAATCTCCTTTTTAACTAAGTGTGTCATTAAAGTTGCCCTAAAAGTTAATGGAATGTAGGATAAGTCACTAAGCTCTGGAGTGAATTGCAGTCCTTAGTGTGCAGTTCTGGGGACCGTGGTATTTTGAGAGGAATTTCCAGTGCTAGCCATAATGAGTCAGTCAGAAATCTTTTTGCGATTAGTTGATCCCGTAAGATACAGTAAAAATCATTATGATCCCAAATCAGTTAGGAATTTGTCTTCAGAGGGGCTTTTCTGGACATTCTATCAAGGAATTCCATCTATACATTGCTACTGAGGAGTTCCAGCTCCCCCCTCTTCACTGGGAACAGTGATAAATACAACTATACAGCATAGCTCCCTTTCCAAGCTGTGCCTTAGGGCAGACACAACTTCACCTTGACACAGATGGATGCTTTTGCTTTAAGCCTGATTGAAAGCCCTCAGCAGAAACCCAGCCACATTACCATTGTAGGAACACACAAATGAGTTACTGAGGGAAGCAATTTACTGCTGCCCAATTCCTCTAGAGCTGCTGTCCATTGGCAGGCTCCTGCCCTGCAACTCCTAAGATGTAGCTGGCCATCTTCTGCAGAGGAATAATGACTCCAGGAGAAGTATTAGGGAACACAGCTCAGAGAGACAACTGGGAGTCACTGATCCTATCTTTGTGCCTTGTTTCTTTTGAAGGACAGAGCATTAATGAGGCACTGCCCTGAAACATGTAAGGAAGCTGAAAAGAGGGAAAATGAGCTTTCACTCAACATCAAATTAATATGTCAAGAACAGAATTAATCAAGATACCAACAAAACCAAGAAGAAGAAATTCTGTAGTCATCCATATATCAGTATTAGAAGCTTGCATAATAAACAAGAGGAGCCTGAATTGCTCATTTGGGAGCATATTTTGACCTAATTGTTATTATTGAAACCTGCTGGGAAGGTCCAATTGATTGGAGTATTAAAATTAATGCCTACAACCTATGTAGGAACAATCAAATGTAGGGGAGAAAAGAGAAGGGAGAGGCAACATGTCCAGGGATATATTGCCATTTGAAGATGTTTACACCAGAGAAACACACTCTCAAATATTAATGGGTTAACATATTTTAACAGGATACAGGTGTACAGGTCTGCTTCAAATTCAGGTTGAAAAACAATATTCATCTACAGTGTGTTGGTGGGAAATTGTATTGTGTTTTCTTGAAGGACTTGTCTTGGTTCCAGCCACGACAAGGTTCATTTTTGCAATAGCCAGGAAGTGGCATGGCCAGGACCCAGAAGTTATTCTAAAACACCTTGCATCATCTCTGGGGGCAGGGGAAGGAGAGTTTTTTCCAGAAGGAATGGCTCTTTTCTGGTAGGGGCAGCATGGCTGCAGTCGATTTAGGTGCTGCAGTGAGCATTTTAGTGTGTGAATTGCTCTCTCTTCTGTACACTTTTGTTATTAATATTGTTGCTGTTACTGTTTGTTTTCTTATCTCATTGCTGTCTCCAGTAAATTGTTCTTGCCTCGACCTGTGAGTTTTAGTTTTTGTATCTCCAATTTATCACACCATCCCACCACAGGGGCAAGGGGGAGGGGAGAGCCAGAGAGCAGCACATGGTTTGGAGATTCTTGCTGGGGACACTGAATGGGGAGTACCATTCCTAAACCACAACAGGACATCACTCTACATTATAAACACTCTACATTATATGCAGTGTCTAATACTGTTACTGCTAAAACATAGTGCAGCTAGTAGTGAAAGATGCTTCTGAATATTGTAGGCGACCAATATACAGGAGGTCCAGCAAGTTCTAATCAAGGAAATAACAATAGTCACATTTTTTTAAAAACAAATGTAATTTTAAAAGGTAGAGAAAGCAATTTTAGCATCAAATAATACATAGAAACAATGAACAAGTAGTTGTGGGCTATGATTCTGAAAATAAAAAGGTGTTGGGACATTCACAGGGAGCATAACTTGAGCTGAAGAGGAAGGGTGTGTATGCTGCATATGCTTGTGTGTGTGTTACTTCTTTTGGTCCATTCAAAATTGAAATAGTGTGGTAAAAGTGCTCAGTAAAGCACTCTGGTTGCATTTGTAGTCAAGTCAGATAGTGTAAATGGGGTATGATGAAATATTTTCCATGCTCGCAGTACCATAGAAGGATATTAAGCATGTTGAAGAAGTATTTTGTAACCAGCAGGTTTACCAGGTTTGCACCTGAAACCTTTAAAAATGGGTGGTAAAGAATTCTCTAGGCTGTTGATGACTTCTTTTCTCTTTTTCTTTGGTAGAATAATACTAAATAATACATAAGTATTTTCAGAAAAGATAAATATGATGACTGGGGGGCAACAGCCTCTCATTCTGGCACCTATGAGAAGCACAGCAGTGAAATAGCAAGTGGAAAAATCAACTGAGTACAAAATTAAGGGAGGTAAAAATACTAATGCCAGTCACTATGAGTTCATGGAAAACCTTTATTGAGAAAATTACAATTTTTTAAACTGATTTTTCCAAGAAAGGCATTTGTACAACAGAACATTTTATTTAAGAGTACCACCACAGAACCATAACCTTTCTCAGTGAAATGCTGTCTTTAATCCCATACAGGTCTAAGTAACTAGAGAGCACAGCATCCACACAGTGCATCTCTAACATGAAAAAATACTGCAAATCAATAGATCATTAAATGGTAAGGAGTTGGTAGAAAATGAGTGTGTTTCTAGAGACTGTTCTTAGCCTCATGACCCCTTCCACTGGTGACCTGGGAGCAAATCAGTCAGCACTGATTTGGTGAGGATGACAGAGAACAGGTCACTGAGCTAACAGGATGCATAAGCAGGAAGGATTTTAATGTCTGAGGACAGTTATCTGTAGTGAGTGCAGGACCTAGGTAATTTTTCCTTGGTGTCAGGAAAACACTTCTCCTACAGACTGTTGACCCTGAAAAATATTCACTGGGGAATAAAGTGGATAATAAAGTAAATATGATTGTCAGTGCAGAAAAATGGTCAAAAAGTAAGAAGGTTGTTGGATGTTTAAAGTGAAGAATGTCACGAATGGTATTTGGCTTTGATGACAACTTTTCTGGAGCAATATGTCCAGCTCTTGTACCCATACTTCCAGAATCTGTCAGCTTGCTGACAAAGGGCATCAAGGGTCAAAAGAACAGAAAAAGAAGTGGAAATACCATGAATGAAAGCAGTGCCATTTGTTTAACTTATTCAAACCATAGGGGATCATTTATTAGCATGGAAAAGTGAAATCTGACACTAAAGGGCACTTTAAAATGCCAAATGTAGGCATAGGAATGCAGCACCTGGAAAGAAGGAGAAATCAAATAAGATGTGCATTTGTAAAGATAAAAGGAGATGACCTCTACTGCAACTTGATAAGAGTTGTGATAGAATTTCTACAGCAGGAATTTTGTTTGATAGGTATTAATCCCTGGAAAATGCACAGCATGCTATAGACAGAAGGCAGGTCTCACCTGCACTATTCTTTGTGGAAACACAGCCCCACAGATCAGAGGGAGTGATTCCAAGATCCAGGGAAATTAGGAAGAGCTGTTGTGGATTTCTTTTTCCTGTTTGTATTTAAAGAATGTAAATTCAGCTGTTTCATTGGTGGTGTTTGATTTACTGTTGCCACAGCACATAAAGCTGCTATGAGGAAAGGAATGGAATCACTTTGATCTCCGTCCATCCGGCAGCCTGGTGCGGTCAGCTGTGCACCATCATGGTACTCTGATACTTAAGTGGATCTTGACTCCCTCTGCAGATTTGTGTGGTTCTTTTCCTTCCTTTCAAATACCTAGCTCTCCACCACTTAGTTACAATCAAAAATAGAAGTGGCTAATGGTAGTGAAACACTAAGAGTATAATTTTTTTCTCTTTTATGTGGTGAAGTAAATTGTCTCTTACTTGGTGAAGACTTTTGATGTCCATGTCAGCAGTAAAATAATTGTATATATTTTTAGGATCAGAATATTTGAAATATTGATTTTACTTTTTAAGATACATAACATTTCTACCAGATTCTTGTTAGGATGACCTTTTTATTTTATTCCTATGGAGCTAAACAAAGTAGTCTGGAAAATACACCACAGCATATGTGACATATGAGCACAATCTAATCTCAGTCAGGAATCAAAAAGGGGAAAAAATGCAGGCAGTAACCTTGCATAAGGATATATGTAATTAAAACTGTCACAGAAAATAGCATTTAAATCCCCAGTACCTAATATTCAAGGACATCTAAAGGGACAGGGTTTATACATTATCAGTGGCAATTAAGAGTAAATGTGACTGGGATACATGTCAATGCCAGTTATGTGCCTGGTGAAGCGGGAATAAATAAAAATGACTGAAATAAGAATAAAGGAAGAGCCAATCAATGAAGCATTAGTGATTTCAGGGATGCTTTTCTATCACTGGTACAGTTCTACCAACCTCCAAATGACTGACTTTCAAAAAGAGAGTACTATTAAGGTTAATAGCTTCAGTACACGACAGCTTTATGTTGACAGTATTCCTGAAAGCAAATGGATTTAGGTAAGCAAAAACAGAGCTTAATTTGAAAGTCATGCTTTCTGTTATTGGTTTTTTTCAGAGTATGAAGGATCTGGGACAGAAGTTCAGAGAAAACACTCAAAATGTGGAGTTTGCAAGTACAGGGCTGAGTGTGATGAAGATGCAGAGAATGTCGGGTATGTAATGTTTTCACTAACAATATCACTGAACAAAAGGGAAAAAATGTTAAAGGTACATGATTATCTGCTTGACTATGTTTGTTCTTACTAACTGAAGCTTTAGTGCCATCCAGTAATAATGTGTTTGATATGTGTCTGTAAAAGAACAAACCATCTGCGGTTGCAAAATAGTGGGAGAAAACAACAGAGAGTTGTACTGGAAAATCTTCAGCTAATATTTTTCAAACAAAGAGCCTTGATTTGTTTTATCCTGCCAACAAAACAACTCAAAAACCAAACAGGAATGCAAAATAAATACTGATTACTCAACCCTGATATTTTTTCTCTATGTTCTCCTTGTTCATAAAGTGTTACATGCAGTTATTTCCATCAGTGCTAACCTTGGACCTAAAGGTGAAGTTGAACTGGAGACTTGAGCCAGTCACATCTTCCAAACTCACTGTGGCATTTGATCTCTTAGATGCACCCAGGGGGAAATCAATGAAAAGTATTAATTATTATCAATTAAATTTCAAAACAAATTATCAAGAAACAAGAAGCTTTTAAAGACAATTCATAATGCAGGAGCAGATGCACCACCCGAGGTACTTGGTTATATTACACCCCAGCTGTCCAGGATCTGTGGGGCTCTCAGAAAGGGCAGAGATATCATGAAGGAAGGGCTTCTTCAGACAGCCCCATGAGGCTTTAAGGGGTTTTTAAAAGAAGTTCTGTCTGCTGATGGGGTTTTGTTTTCCAACACCCTTTGTCCTGGCAGTGGCCACCAGTATGGAATAAGATTTACTGGGATCTGGGCTGGTGGCAGGTACTGGGGTTGTGGCTGCAGACACAGTGCATGAAGGTGTTTGAGAGACTTGCAAATGGTACATTTTTGTATCCACAGAGGGAACAGCATCCCAGAATAACAGTGCCTGAACATCACTAGTCGGAGAAAACATCACTCTCCCTTTTCTTGTCTTCCAGCTGGAATCCATTTAATGTTGAAATATGTCTTAATTGCACAAGGTTTTATTACAGGATACCAGCATGAAGACATCTCAGGCAGTAAAGCAGCTTAGCACTAACATTCAAGATGTACATTCAAGATTAAACTGTAGAATACAAGGGAAAGCAAAATGGTAATAGTGCTCGTGAATACTAGCACGATACTTCACAATTCGTAAAATGCCATAGTACTGAAGCCAGCTTGCTCTTTCCAGGAGAGAGACAAATTAACTAGAGCTGTTTTTGTAATACTAATAATTTTTTGGATTATTGCCTTGGTCTGCTTCATTTATGACTGGAAAGATGGTATAGATTTTATATATATATATATATATGTATGTTTGCTATATGCACTGAGATGTGCTTTTGGCTTTGGAAAATAAATCCTGAAGCATTCAACTTCAGTAAAAGCATGCTTAGTCTTTCTGCACTTGTAGAGCTGGAATTCCTGCAGCTATATACTATCTATAAGAAAATTAGGATAAAGCTGAAGGGAGCAGAAGACTTATTATCTACATCCTACTCGTATAAAATGAAACCAGTTCCTGCTTCTTGACAACAGACAGAGAGAGCTCTTTTGCCTCTAAGATTTCTTTAATTAGTCCTCATTAAAAAAATAAGTGGAAACAAGACTTTTTCTGTAGAAAATGCGCAAAAGTTAGAAAATATTCCCATGTAGGTTATTTGCAATTTGTTGGATAATATTTTTCAGTTATATACAGGAATGAAATATAATTTAATTTTTTTTCCCAGTGCCTTTAACCATTAAAACAGGTTTCAGTGATATTCACTGTTTAGCCATAGATAAATCAGGGTCTGTTAACACAGATTGCCTTCACAAGGTTGGTTTTGACAAGTCACGTAGCAAGTCACAAACTTGCTAAAGTAGAATACAGGAATTGGCATAATTTTTCATAAAATCAAACCAGTTATTTAACTGGCAGAAACAAGATGGGATTGAAATCTTCTTTTGGGAAACTTTAGTAGAGAACCCCTTGTAATAGCTTTTAACATCTAATTTTTATTCTCTTTACTGCTGTGTTTCAGTATGGATTTTGACATCATAAAATTATATCATGACATACAAAGTTACTGGCAACACAAATATCTTTCATTATGTATAAACAGTGCTAGTCAGTATTATAATTTCATTCAAATTTGCACTACATTACAAACACTATCACCCCTAATTCTAGCAAATCATAAAACTTCCTAATTTCATAAAAATATTCTGGTTTGATTTTTCTTTTTAAGACATAAGAATGTCCACTGGAATTTTTTGGATAGTGTGGTAATGTTTTCTGAACCAGAGAAGAAAAATACGTTTAGTTCTATTCATGTAGGTTTAGTAGGTCTGGACAGCCCTCACTTGCACCTTGTGATGTTAAGACACTTAATAGAGTGATCCAGGTGATAACATAGAACATTTAAAGAAAATTTTGCTCCATTATAATAACTGTATGTGTTAGCTGAGCTGTCCCCTAATGTTAAGTAGATAATATCAAGCCATATTTATGATGCAAACAGTAAAGGCAAAGTTATTAATTTTTTCAACCTCTTTTCTAAGCTGTGCAATCTGAGACTTTACAGAAGCAAGACCCTTGGTCACTCCTGATTTTTAGAGTTGAACTTACAGGTCCTTAGAATCATCTAAGCAGGTCCTTTCTTCTCAGAGGTGGACAGTGATATCGTGAGGAGCAATAGACACAGGTCAAAGCATGGTAAATTTTGTGTTGTCATAATGAAAAATGTTTCTACCACACGGGTGGTTGGACACTCCAACACCGTGTCTGGCATTTCCATTCATGGAGATGGTCTGAACTTGATCAGACACAGCCTTGGGACCAACTTTGACCAGGGGCTGGGACTAGGTGATCTCTATACATCTCTTAAGCCTGAATTAATTTGTGAATCTGTGTAATTACCAAATCTTGGTGCATTTCAATAGCAAATTTAAAGAAGATTGGTAGTACAGAGCTGCGATACACACCATATTACAAATTAGTGATGTTAATTTTTTGTTGCTCTTAAATTGTATTTTCCCCTTTGAAAAAGTTACAGATTCTTAGTTTTCATGCTTGGTGTTAAAGCATTATGGCTGTCTCTTGATCAAAAATTATACATATGCTTTTATTGCACTAGATCACACATAGTTTGAAGAAATCAGGCTTTGCACAGGGTTTTAGATTTGTATCTTCATTTTTTTTGACTTCACAGAAACATTACCTGTCTAAACCAAATGTGGTAACAATGCACAGTAAACTGAATGCAAAAGTATAAACAACTTTGTAATTTCCACTGCCTCTATGAAAAAGTTCAGTGTTGATTCTAGGTGGAGTGTTTGAAACACAGAAATAAAGTCTGAAGAGAGGGGTGTCATAAACAGTACACTTGGAAAATTTGTATTCAGCTACATGCAAATGAGTACATTATTTCTTTATCTAAACTCAGAAAGCAATCAGGTTGAGGAAGCATCACAGAAATATATTTCTCCATATTTTTCTTCTTTTTTCATACAACTTGTAAGTATTTTAAAGAGTTGGTAGTTTGTGATCAATCTTTTCAAGGGCATAGACAATCACTTGTGGATGCACTAGTCTTAAATTGCATAAACACATAACATGTCATTTGCCTGAACAGTGGTTTTCTGTAGGTCTGAGGTAACAGGATGCAAAAGAACAGGATGGGTTGGATGGGACTTCCTTCCTGTTGAGTGCCAAAAATGAAACAGGTTGTATGTACAATGGGAAAAGCTGATGCCTACACCATTCAGTCAGTGTCTGCCTTCCTCCTCTGACCATCAAATGACTCTCTGGCCATCATATGTCTCTCTGGCCAAAAACTTGCTCCTCTTTGTTGAAAAGACAACATATTATGCATAATGGTGCAAAATGTGTGCACAAGAGGTTGGTAGACTTATACTCCTGTGTGAGAAAGTGGCAAGAAGCCCACAGACATAGGTAGTATAAATGTGGCTGGGTGTTTTCTGTTGGAATTTTGAATTAGAAATGTAGCCATGTTGAGAAGTGGACACGGAGGTGGCAGCACAGAGCTTGGGGCATCTAGAGCTGATGGGGTAAATTCTGTAGGTCAGATCACAAACATACATGGTTTGCTCCTGACTTTTTCTTAGCACACACTGGACTTTTCAGTTCTAGTGACTGTTCATGGATAAACAGATTATCCAATCAGTACACAATCAAAAGGTAGGATCTCTAGATGGTCTGGGCTCCTGCCCTGCATTGCAGCCAGGGATAATTTATTCATGTAAGATCAAGGACTTCTCCAGGAGAGCTCTTACCATCTCCAGGAAGAAAGATTTCACAGCTGGACATATCTGTTCAAGGTCTGAACTTCTCTCACTTTGAAATAATTTCCTCATGTTCAATCACAATTTCTTTCCTTGCGACTTGCACCTGCTGTCTTTCACTCCTCTTCGTGTACCTTTGAGAGGAGCCTCACTCTCATCTTCTTAATAACCTCTCTTGGGTTGTTGATGACAGCAGTCACATCCTTAGCCTCCCCTTCTCCAGGCTGAAGAGGTGCAGTGCCCCCAGCCCTTCTCACAGCAGCCCACACTCCATCCCTTTACCCATCGCAGCGTCTCGCCGCTGCAGCCTCTCCAGCTCCTCACAGCATTTGCTGTTACTGAGGGCTCTCAAAGCAGGACAGAGTGTTTCACATGGGATCCATGAGTGCTGAATGCAGGACAAGAGTCACTTAGTCACTTCCCTTGCTCTGCTGGTGACCCTCCTGTGATGCAGCCCCCCAGCCTGCTGCTCCGTTGGAACCTCGCGGCCTTTTCTGCAGAGCTGCTTCCCTGCTGGCCCACCCACAACCTGTCCTGAGGCCGTGTGACAGATGTCCTGTCATCTTCAGACCTCTGGAGGTTCCACCATCTTGTCAAGGCCCCACTCGAGTTGTTATCTTTATTTTTTTTGTCTTTGAAAATATCCTCACTGTAAAAATTCAAATTTATCATGTTCTCAGTTTTACATAATTTTTTTTAACAG